TGAGCATATCCGCTGTCCTCTGCGAGCCAATCTTCAATGCTGTCTTCTGGCAGACCAGTGACTTTAGGCGCGCGCAGTCCTCATTAATAGCCGTGCGGATTGAGAATTAACACCGTTGCAAGGCATTCTCCCGCAAAAAATGCGTGTCTCGACAACTAGACAGGAAGTTCACAGCTTACAGGAACTTTCCTGTTAGGGTTTGTACTGTAGTCGCAATTATTTCCAGGGAATTCTATATTTGCTGCTTTGCCGTTGCATTTGCACTGTTTTACCAGATTCCAGTCCTGTTTTGAGCACTTTTTCACAGGCCGATGAATCCATTTTGCAAACCCGTCTCGTATATATCCTACTTCGTTTGCGTCTTTAGGGATTAGTGTCGTGTGGGGGCTTTACGGACTTCCTTCTAGAACTGAACTCTTTCGAACTGCTACGCTTTTGCTTAACTGTCTCCCTTTGAATAGGGAGGCCTGATTTTCGAAACAGGAAATGTACTTACGCCTCAGACTTATGCCCGAACCCTCCCTCATAGACTGAAATGGGTAGAGGTGGTGGACCAATAAGGGGTTTAGTATTTATAGAATGTATTTGCTACAAGACCACACTCCTGGCAAACTTGACAGTTTCGTAAGCGCATGTCGCATGCCGCCATCGCCTAATTTATTGTCGTTCATAAAACAATTACTTTTTTCCTGCTGTCGCTGTATTCTCACATTACGCATTCCCCTTATTTACTATGGAATTCACGACTAAAAATCCACCTGGCTGCAAATAAGCACCAAATAATAGTTACGTGTCCTCTCCTTGTGCTAAATACGCCTGCAAATTACCCTTATTAATTTAATTTGATAAGTATTATATAAATTTCTCAAGTCTCTTTAATAAGGATACCCAGGTGATCTTGTGCTGACAGAGCAAGTGTTTACTTTTATTTTACCGTTTGTTTTACTATATGGGTTCGTTTTATTTTTCTTTGTATTTTAAGATGTGTATTGCCACCTACCTCCTCTCCTCGCCCAAAGCGCCAAAAAACTCTGGCGGGAAGCTATGGAATCATCAAGTCGATACTACTCTCGCCGGTATATCGGACACCAATTTCCCTGTGTGGTCTTCTGTTTCATTTTTCTATATGATTTTTCATGGAGCAATGGGGTAATCCGAGGAAAAACTTCTAGAGAGCAAGCCCTTTTAGTCATACCGATTGATTCAAGTGACGCCAGTTCCCTAAGGTGTCTGCTCTCTCCATCTTCAGTCCTCACTATGTATGCACACTTTACGACGTTTTTTATGCCTCTACTTCAGACGGGACGCTGTCGCGTCGTCGCCGCTTGTGACTACATGAACCTTCTCTGCGTCTCCCAGCCGTCCGCTAACCCCCTTGTCAAGGGCTTTGGCTTTCGAAAGGTCAGTTGCTAGTCATTTCCATTGTACTACCCTTTAACTTTCCTCTCTGTCATGCGTCCATCCACTTCGACCGGCTTTCTGTACTACCAACCTTTCATTGACACTTTCGAAATACTGGGTCCGCCATTTTTTCACAGTGTTACCTTTGAATGGCCTCTCATGATGTGTTTGTGTTTTTCTCCCCTCCTCTGGCTTAGGTACACACTGGCGAACTGCGTCCACTCAAGTACATCCACTTACACTCACAACCCATTCGAGACCTTGCCTTCCATCCCGAACATGAGGATGGCATAGTCGTCTCCGCAAGCATGGACAAGTCGCTCAAACTCACCAGTCTGCTTGTTGATCAGGTAAGTTATCTCTCTGCTAGAATTTCGCTTTCTTCAGACATTAGGTAAACACTTCTCCCCCTCTCTCCTGTCCTGTCGGTCATCGCTCAAGACCGTGCAAACTTCTTACGTTAAGTCTCCCAATAAGTGTGCTCCAATCACGTCTCATTTAACACCACCAAACTCTTTCTCTGTTCAGTACTTTCCCCCCTAAGACACCCCGGTTTGAAAATTTTTCTCCTGAGACCTGATGCCATTGTCTTTGTTGCCTCTGAAATACGTGCATAGTTTTGTCACCCGCTGTGTCCACGTCNACAATAAGATAAATTCGAAGTTACCGGATAGTAGTTTTAAGTCACTCACCCTGACTGCAGCAGGTGATACAGACATTTCAGATCACAAACGGTTGCTATGCAACCGCCTGAATTGAACTCCAAGAAGCCAAAATGAGGAGCTCAAAGGAGTTCCATGAACACCAACCCAACCAAGTGGGAGTAAGTAACGGTAATCAAGTAGAATGTTTCCAATAAAGTGACCGTCGGTAATCACAAGTCCTTCGCTGTCAGACATTTTTGAAATATTATCGAGCACAATTGCTGTCCGTTACCAAATTACAGTAGGTGCAGCGGCCGATACCGACTAACAAGCGGTCACTATTCAACCGCCTGTGAAGGGCTCTAGATTGAGTTATAAGGAGGAACTGCGCGAACACGTCCAGTGATCAGATGGGCGTTTGGTCCGATCGTAGAACGTTGGACGTAACGCTCAATAACCGAAAACTCCGAGTTTGAATATCTCAGGTTATTAGGGCCTAGTAGTTGTACTTCGTACGTCTGCGATCATGCCTGATCTAACCGGCCTTGATGATGTTCTAATTAGTCCTCTCCACGCGTGACGATCCGCGGCAGCAGATCTGGACAGTTTAACCCATTCTCTTCGCCAACGACAGAGACCAAGTATCGAAGGTCCAAGAACCACCTTCATGCCTTGACGAACTGTGTCGAGCCATATTTCGAGTTGACCTCCGTTTCGAGAAGATATGCCGGACAGTGTACGTGAAGTATGTCCAACAACAGTAATTCAAACCTGGAGTTGAAGATGGCTGACTGAAGACGGCTAATAAACCAGATTTGGACACCACAGTCTCCGTCAACTTCGTCAGTGCTTGCTCTATGCGAAAATTCGCATTGCTTCGGAGTCCCACGATAAATTCCACACGCGGACGCTCACAGATGGGAGACCGAAGGGCGACCCAGTCTCTAACTCTTAAAGCTCGGTAGCATGTCCTCGTTTCACCCTGTGGTCCTCATGGATCCACTAATGCCACTCGCATGTGACTTTGAGTGTTCTCGATGGCAGTTGAAAGGCGTGAACTCTCAGCTACTGGAGCGTTTACTCTGGTGCTCAGTAGTCAGAGAACCTGCAGTAGGACTTTCAAGACCTCAATCTCGCTGACGAAAGGAAGCAAATAAGTCTAGAATGGTCACGCAAGACACCTCAGTCACTTTCGCGGACATTTCTCAAGGTCCAATTGTTTTGAGAAATTTCAGCAGGCTTCCCGCAGGGAAATGTCGCTGTGCCGGCCAGACGCTTCCAAGATCTTAAGCCGTCACACAAAAGAGGCTGATAATTTTAGGTGTAGTCGAAAGACACCTACCATGCCTCGGAGACAGGCCAAAGGGGGTGTACTAATTCATTCGGATGTCAGCTGCACCCCAAATGACCGAATATCACTGAGATTCTTTGAGGTAGGACGGTGGGAGCACTTATGCAACTAAACGTGAACAGCCAAGCGTATAAAAGAGGACACGCTGCAAGATAATTCTCAACCGACTTTACTCTGTTGCTTATGCATTTAAGTACAATCCCGAGCTGATGAGGAGGGTTGGCCTGTCTGACGCGCAGAAAATAGGTAATACAAAGAGCCACGTGAACTCCAAATGTTTGCTTGAACTTCCACACGAGGCATTCCCCATGAGTTTAGAAAGTACTCCAAATCGTCACTCCTATGCCATACGCACGACATTATGATTGACCCACCGGAAAAAAAAGGAACTAATTAGAGAGTAACCTCGCGGCTAGTCATGGCCAAGGCCCTGTGAAAGACTTCCGTATTCGATCGCAGACGAGCTACGCGAGTCAAAACCTTATCGAATAGTGGAGACGCACCTGCGACGACGTTGAGTGGGTGGCGCGGACATCGGCCCTAGTACACCGCGTCAGTTCGACAAGTGTACGCGGTAAGGAACGCGGTAGAATTTGCTATCCAAGCTTGGAGACCCTGGACCGCGAAGGACCTCAGCATCCTTGAAAGGGTTCAAAGGCGTGCGACGAAACTTGTGGCAGGACAGGGTTCACTACCATATGCAACGCGGTTAGCTAACCTTCATCTCTTCCCCTTGAGTTACAGGCAGTTACGGGGTGACCTGATACAAGTCTTCCGTATCATACGCGGTCAGGACTGCAGCCTCGTACCGG